GAAACAATTAAAAAAAAAAAAAAAAAAAAAAAGATGGCAAAAGGAGTTTCTGAACTTGATGAAAAGTTAAAGAACAATCTAAAATTTTCTTTCAGTGCTGGGATTCTAGGCTTCCTATTAGCATATTATTTTGGAGGAAAATTATTAAAGGTTTTATAATAAACTGTTAAAGCAAAACTACCCTAAACATACAATATTCCATGGAACCATCACTTTTTATTAGTATATGTCTACCATACCGGAAGAGGGGGGAGAGGAACAAGGAAAAGAGTAGGATTATTAAAGCAAAAATATATGTGAACAGTAAGAAGAGGCCCCACTTTAGGTCTGCATGATCTTCCTACACAAAGCACAAACCTCGCCATCTCCCTGTAGGTAACTAGCCACATGTAAAATATCTAACAATAAGTACAAAATCTTGGCACTTTTCAGTATAGATTTTTAAATACTCTGAGGGGCTTCACGGAGTGCGCAGGTTTACTGCTGCGTAGTTTGCTTCACGGCTTAAATCTGCATGGCACGTGTATGAGTGCCAAGATGACTCACAGAGGAAGGAGACCAGAGGCACTCTGTAAGGAGCTCCCACATGTGATACACCTATACACCCAACAGCATCCAACTGCAGAGAAAACTTCAGTGTTTCCCACGTTTAGTCCAAATCCCAGTGAGACTCGTTACTAAATACTGCTCAACAATCATACCAGGTTCTTGTCTCTTGCAAGTTGTAAAGTTCTCCCGTTATCTGAACTCATGCATGATCAAAATACTAGGCTGTGGAGCTATGAAATTTATACTGGTCTTTGTCCCCCTTTCCTGGTACACAACTCCTAAAATCCTTGGAATCTCCAAAGTGGCCAGGATCCTTTTGCGTGCTAGTGAGTTGATTGAGGGCTGCCAGCCCCAACTCAGCTACAGGATGGGGACTGGATTAAGAGGGCAGAGGAGCTTAGAGCTAATCAGCAATGGCTAGTGGTTTACCTAAGCAGACCTACGTAATAAAGCCTCCATAAAAACCTCTGAAAAGCTTCAGGACAAGGGAACAGCTGGGGGCCTCCAGAAAGGAAACCCAGCACTCACTGGCCCAGAGGGTAGTGCATCCAACTCCACAGGGCAGAAGCTCCTGTCCTGCTGACTGCCAGACCCTGCCCTATCTCTTCATCTGACTGTATCCTTTAAAATACCCTTTGTAAAACTAACAGACAAAGCTGAACTTGGTGGTGCACACCCATAATCCCAGCTACTCAAGAGACTGATGCAGAAGGATGGAAAGTCGGAGGTCAGCCCAGGCAACTTAGTGAGATTCTGGTTCAAAAATTTTAAAAAGGGCTGTGAATGTGGCTCCACGGTTACACTCTTGCCTAGCACACTCTAGGCCCTGGGTTTAGTCCCAGTACTGCTAAATAAACAAATACTAATAAATGTGTTTTCCCGAGTCCTAAGAGCTGCTCTAGCAAATTAGCTGAATCTGAAGAGATCACAGCAATCCTAATTTGTAGTTGACTGCTCAGACAGCATGGATTAAAAAACCACCTGGGGCTTGCAGCCAGCATCTGGAGTGGGGCTCAGTCCAGGGACCCAGCCCTCCCTTTGCAATACAACATTATCACCAGGGAAGCAGTATAGGAAGTAATTGAGTTAGAGGACTCCCAGCTAGTGATTGCTTGCTTGGTGCATGTGCAAAAGCACCCACATGCGTGGTCACAGAGGCCCGTCTGTGCTGTGAAGGCATAGGAGAAACAGTTTCTTTTCTCCTCCGTTTGGATGTCAGTATTTTTTAAAAGGGAAAGTGAGCAAGAAAACACACTGTTCTCGATCCTTCGGTTCATGAGCATGATGACTGGGTGTTCATGCTGCATGCATGAGATGTGTGCCTCCCTCCACCCTTGTTACGATATCAGCACATTACCCTTCTGATCTGAGGAAAACAAACAAACAAACAAACAAAACACACTCTTCTCTGTTTACAAAAGAAAAATGATATAAAAGTAATATGATGAAACAAGTACCCCCAAATAACCTGAGAGACAGAGACAGAAACAGACACAGAGAATTTTTCAATTTGCTGGTGAAAAATTTACATTATTCTCAAAATTAATAACAAAAAATTTAATGTGACAAGGAGGTGTCCAAAATATAATAAGTTCCATGCTAAAAAAAAAAAAGTACAACTCACAGATAATTTAAGCCAAAGCAGAACCTTGGGGGGGAAAATCACTTTTGTTCTGAGTAAAGTTCTATCACAGATGGAAAAATGATGGCCTTCTAAAATGATACTGGATTTTACAGTGCCCCTCGTGGGGTAGAGAGAAGTAAAGATGTGGCCCTCAGAGTCTCCGTTACTCAGGTATGAGGTGAGAACCCACTTTACAATCTTCCCAGACAGGCCTGGGGTGGGGCTGAGTTACCAGGCACCCACAGAACCACAGCTGAGGAAGGGACCTTCCTCCAGCCTCCATGTGACCCCACAGGCCCCTCTGCTCAGCAAGGTCCCCAGAAGCTCATTCAAGCCTCTGTTCTGGGGAAACAGGGAAGACCCCTGCCCAACCTACAACATGTCTGGGGCTCCTCCACGCCAGGGTCAAACTTGCCCCTCTGCTACCAACTGCACACTTCCAGGAAGGAACTGACAAGTTCTACTCAGTAATGATCGGTCATAAGACGCATGCCTCCACACTGTTTTCAAGGCCAGCAATACCTAATTTTGAAAAGGATTTATGGAAAAGGCATTCACTTAGCATGTGTGGGAGGATGAATTACTACAATTGCTCCGGATGTGTTTGTTTTAATAAATAACAAATGGTCAGGGATTTAGCTCAGTGGCGCCACGACACTGCCTGCCTCGAAAGCCCAAGGTCCTGAGTTCAATCCCTGGTACCAAAAATAAATAACAAATAACACATAATTTTTAAAAATCTCCTCCTCATCCTCCAGAAGTATTTCCACAAAGGGACAAGAATATCCATAAAAGGATATTCACTATAACACTCATTATTTGGAATTCTAAAAACTTTAGAGATACAGCTGGTGGTACAGCCTGTACTCCTAGCCACTTGGGAGGCTGAAGCAGGATGATCTGAAGAGTTCAAGGCCAGCCTCAGCAATTTATCGAAATCTGTCTGAAAAAAGTTTTTAAAAGACCAGGATATAGTTCAATGACAGAATAACCCTGTGTTCAACCCCCAGTTCCACACACACAAAACAGATAATACAGCATCAACAGCCATCAAAATAATCCCAGGAAAACTCACTGACCTTAACCTCATCAACAATAATCCATGAAAAAGAATGAAATAAAATTCCACGAGCCAATACAGACCTTAAAAGATATTAAATTTATTTAAAAAACAAAAAACCAAAAAACACAAATAACTATTTATGTAGGAGCCCTTATGTGCATTAAAATACACAGTAAGAGAAACACAGGGCTCCTGTGCCTTACAGGCTGTGTCCTTACACTGACTGTACAGAAAGTAGAGGCAGAGGAGACCTCCTCCATCTGCACCTCCGCCCAGACCTGGTGCCTGGTCTGTATCAGGCGTGCAGAGACATGGAGTTGAGGTGGGGAGGAAAAACACACAGGGGCAGTATCTTCCAAGGAGAGAGATTTCTGCCCAGTGGGAGGTACTAACAGAATTACAAAGACTTTTTATCTTTCTGTACTAGTATGTGCATGAATACATTAAAAAAAAAAAAGCAAAAAGCATGTATTTGTCTGATTTTCTAACAAGGATTACTTTCTGCTTGGGGAAATTATAACCATGAGATCTGTGGCTTTTTTATAGTTTCCCAAGTGAAAAATAGGAACATGTGTACATGGGTGGACTCAGGAATGCGTGTGTTCCTGACTATTCCTGCGCAGAAAGAGGTATAAAGATACTAACAGTGATTAAATCCAGTGATTTGGGAGGAGAAGGATACACATTTAAAAAATGTATACAGGCCGGGGATTTAGCTCATTGATTCTGCCTCCTGCCTCACAAGCATAAGGACCCAAGTTTGATCCCTGGTACTGAAAATAAATTAAGTATAAAAAATGTATACATTTATATAGTCCACTTTAAATATATATACATGTTAATGACCACTGTGTATTTTTAAAATTAGAAATTTATAATAAAAATATTCATTAAAGAAGAGTAATGCTTTAAGGAGAAAGGCTTACACTAGGTTAATAGTGTAGCCTAGCAAAAGGTTACACAATTCACAAGCAGTGCAGAAGGGATTAGGTGGCCATCCTGTGGGCACTGTGGTCACCTAGGGACACAGAGGATCCCAACCCCAGGCACACAGCAGTGGATACAGACACTACATTTTGAGAAGTTACTATACATCTAAGGTAGTTATGCGCAGTTAAGTTTCTCCTGGTGTGTGACTCAAATTTTCCAGAGATTTATATACTGAAATGTGTGTGAATATGCAAAGCAAATTTCTAGAGGAATACACAGAAAGTGTTGGCAGGTCTTCCCCCTGGGGTGGGACTGTAAGTTGAGGCAGCAGATCACACTCTTTTGTATTATGTGGTTTTTCTCAATGCATGTAGGGACCAAGAGATGTGAGTAACTCAAACCCCAGAGCAATCTCAGGGCAATTTGAATGATATCTTCAAGAGGCTCTAGAATTCAAATTTACAAAGAAACAGTCACACACACATCCAGCTCCTGCACTTCACCTACCAGCCAGACATGTCTCCTGAGCTGTCACCTCAAACTCAGCAAAACAGAACAGAATTCCTGTCTTTCTCCCAATCCCAATCCCATTCCCATTCCTGCTCCTTATACTTTCCTAAATGGATATTTCAGAGTCTTTCCTGGTTCACCCTGATTTCTCACTCTGGTTGCTAAGAGAATCCTTATACTCAAAGTCAAAACCAAAACCAAAGGCTCTGCATCTCTGCCACTCCCACACCTGCCCTCCTGTGCCCCCACTCCTTCTGTCTTTCTGGGGTACACTCTGCACACTGTTCCCCTTCCTCCACCCACTATGTACATGCACCCCTCTTCCCCCAATGCAGAACCTCACAAGAAAACCCCCTGCACAGGTGTACCCATGGCTCTTACTGTCCACACTCAGATGGCCCTCCTCTGTAAACCCGGGGCAGAATGACATGAGAGCCTCCTCAAACACCTGGTGCTTATGGGCCTCCTTGCGGAGTTGTCAGCCCCTCTGAATCCTGCCTCTGAGGAAGTCACCCCTCATGCACAGGCCAGATGGCCACAAAATGACCTTCCCTTAAAATGAACTCTGTCCAGGACCCAAGGGAATGGATGCATTGTGGGGGAGGATGGGTGGACCAGAAGAGAGGGTAATTTGGCCCAAGAACCACTGATATCCTTTCCTTTATAGCTAAAAGAGAGAACCCACTTCTTAGAATGTACCTCCTTAAGAAACACATCTGCACATGACTGAGGCAAGCTCTAGGAAAATACCCACTTTAAGTATGTGGTTTTTGTTTTTCTAAAAAAAGCCAAGACTTAGAAGTATTTCAAGAATGGAATACTAAAGTCTGCATGATGTGCCTGATTTTGTAAGTAATTATAAAAACACCAGGTAACTTGACAAAAGCCATGCTAACTAAATAGGGAGATGCCCAGAACTAGCAATGAAAAGAAAAAGCCCTCCCCCGCGCTTATACTTGTGGACAAGAAATTTACAGCTGCAAATAATTCTCACAATCTCCTCTAAGATTAAAAAGGGGAGGGGACAAAATACAAATGATGATTTAAAAGGAAAGAGTGAGCCCACAGCTCTTGCTCTCATGAATGCTGCAGGCCCTTGAAAGGGTTATTCATCGCCAAGCAATGTCACATTTCTGTTAACTCCTCCCTGGACAGGACACAGGAATAAAAGGGCAGAGAACCAATCAAGACTTGTCTGTGTGTCCTACACTACAAAGCTTACTGTTTTTTCTTCTCCTAAGAGTTCCTCGTTCCTGCTTCCCTAGAAAGAGCATTTCTTTTAAATGCCATCACAGGTAGCTCTATTTCTGGACTAGTTTTTCAGGACAATGGTTCAGAAAGAGCTTTTCGGTTGATTTCCTCTCTTGTCTCTTCTCCCTCATGAAGAGAGACAATGAAAACTGATGACTTCTTCCACTCAGGCCATTTCCAATCAATTATAGTATTTATAAGGTTAAAGGAGAAAGGAAAAGAAATCACTGAAGATTTACCTTACCTACTTCTACTCAATTCTTTCCTCTTCCAGGGAAAATTCTGAATTTCCCCACCACTTTGAGTAGACCTAATCAAATTTTGGTGAAGATAGCAAGACTAAACTGGGCATGGTGGTGCACACCTATAATCCAAGTACTCAGGAGGCTAAGGAAGGAGGATCACTGTGAGTTTAAGGCCAGCCTGAACTATATAGCAAGACCCTGTCTCAAAAACCCAAAAAGCCTAAAGAATGATGGATAGTATTCTCTATCTACAGTCTAACATCTTGAGAGGAGGGAAAGCTTAGTTAATAAATGTATTCCTCAAATGAAAGTTTTTCAAATATTTGTTGAATGGAACAGGGCATGGTGATTCATACCTATAATCCAGCATTCTAGGAGGCTGAGACAGGAGGATCCCAAATTTAAGCCCAGCCTGGGCAACCTGACAACTTAGCGAGACACTGCCTCAAAATAAAAATCAAAAAAGCCTGCAGATACAGCTCTGAGTGAAGGCCTTGAGTTCAATCCCCAGTACTACAAATAAATAAACAGACAACCAAGTAAGTAAAATTGTTAAATGGAAAAAAACCCTACAGGAATAAATGAAGCTGAATCTTTTCCTTAGTTACAAGGTCAAAATACCAGTGAGAAATAGTTCAACCTACAGACTTGCTATAATGAAATCTGACATATTTAACTCAAATGATTCTATTGCCACTTTTTAGTTCTCTTTGGTGGAAGGGCTGGTGTTTAAGGACAGACACTGCTCAGTGAGGAAAGAGACAAGTGCCTGTCACCTTTCCATGTCAGAGTACTGGTGAAGAAGCCCAGGGACAAAGCAGGGGTCCTCACTTCCGAGAAGCCCTCCACAAGACAGTCACAATGTCCAGGGTTTACTGTTTACTTAGCACATAGTACACCTCTGGGAAACACCGGCTCTTGCTAATTATTAACAAATATTTAATTACAAAAGATAAAGAAGACAAAACAGTGCAGGTTAAGAACCCATACAGGTCTAACCCAGTCATCAGGACATCAGTCTCAGTGTCTGCTTTCAGGTCTGCCTTTTCTGTGTGTTTCAAAAGGCTTTCTAAACCATGAGACAGGAAAATATCTGCCTATCAAGAGAATGAGAAGACAAACCATGGACTGGGAGAAAATATTCACCATCCTCTACTGTTGAGCATTTCAGTTCCTTCTCATTTTTCATTGCTAAGTGCTTATATCTATACTTAAGTCTTAACTTTTCCCTAATAGTTAATTCCTAAGACTAGTATCTGAAATACACCTAAAATTTCTTAAAATTCAACAATAAAGAGGCCAGGCATGATGTCACATTCCTATAATCTCAGCATTCAGGAGGCTGAGGTAGGGGGATTGCCATAAGTTTGAGGCCCACCTGGACTACATAATGAGTTCAAGGCCAGCCTGAACTAAATAGTCAGACCATCTTAAAAAAAAAAAAAAAAAAAAAAAGGATGGAGCCAGGTGTGGTGGCGCATGCCTGTAATCCCAGCACTCAGGAGGCTGAGGCAGGAGGATCACTGTGAGTTCAAGACCAGCCTGGGCTACATAGTTCCACGTCAGTCTCAACTACACAGTGAGACCCTGTCTCAAAAAACAAAACAAAACAAAGAATGGCAAGTAAGTATATTAAAAAGATCTTTACTGTCATAAATAATTAGAGAATTGCAAATTTAAATGATACCACTATGAGAGCGGCCAAAACTCATCAGGCATGATGGCCTACATCTATAATCCCAGTACTCTAGGAGGCTGAGGCAGGAGGATCATGAGTTGCAGCCCAGCTGAGGCAATTTAACTACTTAATGAGACCCTGTCTCAAAGTAAATAAAATTTAAAATTTTTAAATTAAAAAGGGATGAAATGTAGTTCAGTATAAAGGCCTTGGGTTCAATCCCTAGTACTTTGTAACACACAGACACACACACATGGCCAAAATCCAAAAGAATGACATTCAGAATAATTAAAAATCTCATGCACAAAGACACGATTTCACACATGTGTAAATACCAAATAGTTTCTCTGGTGTGAAAAACTATAATAGTACATTAGATCCTAATGATATAATTGACCATGTGATATAGGAAGAAAAGGGCTAAAGGTGTAGGGAAAATGGGAAGGGTAGGGGAAAAGTAGTAAGGGAAAAGAAAAAAATATGAGAAAATGAAAAAATGGAAATAAAGTGTTTGTAAATGGGGAGGATAAGGGGGGGGGTGAAGGGAGGGCACGGACAAGGGGAAAAAAGTGAGAACCAAGAGCTGTCATGTAGAGGTACAAGATCCCAATAATGAATGTAATTGTACTGTATGCCTAAAATGTACCAATAAACTCAACAAAAGAAAAAAAAATTTTTAAATCTCATTTTCTGCTGGTAGG